ATCCAACATCATTAACTACAGTGTCGCATGGTGGGTTAACGCCGAATCAACACACGAAACCAAGATCCTAGTGGAACTCCAAGTACTCAGACGCCACAAGGAGATAACCAATCTAGACAGTTCACCCTCGGCTCTTTTTATAGATAGTGTTGAGGCTCTAGTCAGCAGACTAACTGAGTTGTTTAAGAAAGTATGAGGAAGTGAGTATGTTTCACTAATGTGATATGAAGTCATTATCCTCAAAAGGGTTCCTACGCAATGCATGTGACAATCACAGATATTAATTTGTTACCAGCTGCATCTAAAATACTGGCTGCTACCTGAAGGTTGTGTAAAACGCATGAGAAGTCGATTCATGAAGAGTATGTTGGGTTTCGTTCAGCCCGTGGATACACTCATCCTTCAACAGTTGGCAGAATAGCGTTACTTGTGTTGCAGGCCAACAGTAGTTGTACTTCTTTATCCGATTCATCAGTCCGCTCCGTCCTCCTTTATGGATGCTAGTGAGACCTGGCCATCGAGAGTGGAAGACATGAAAATGCTGGCTAGCTGTCTTTGATCATAGGTGCCTGCGCTCTGTGGTATAATAAGGTAAGCAATATTGAGGTAAGGCGTTGGTAGAGTTCTAGGTAAACAGGGGAAATCAATCGACGAGGCTGTGAAATCACATCGACTGAGATGGTTAGGACATGTGTTACGTATGCCTAGTCATCGCCTTCCTCGACGGGCAATGTTAGCTGACATAGGGTCAGGGCTGGAAAGGAGCTAGTGGCGGTCGAACCAAAACATGATACCGGTCAATGACATCTATAACAGTTAGTTTAATCCAGCCAAGTAGGAAGGTGTAGACTTCCTGATGGGTTGGGATCCTCGGGACGGTAAAAGCCAGTGGCTAGAGACGATTAGTGATATGGCTCAAAGCTATCGTTCTCAATGGCTGGCTGGCTCAGATGCATCCACACCTTGTGACTTATGATTTCCAATGAAACTCTTTTGTTCTTCGTTATTACTATTCCTTTGTCTCACACCTCTGTTTACTGTTTCTAATATGCATTTCTTCTACTTTCTTCTCTTGGTTTGTGTGCTACATGGAGTGTGGCGACTTGAACTTCCGCACATATGTGCAATGTTCTATGTGGAAAACAGCAGCACTTCTTTATGATAGGTCTGATCTCGTTTCGCTGAACAGAAATTCTTCCTGGAACTATCTGTTGGACAGGTGTTCCTGAGAAATATGTCAACATCTTGGAAGCCCTAGCCTTCTGCAAGAACTGGCGAGGAATCATGCTCCTGTCGACGCCAAGTAAAATCCTGAGTCGCATCATCCTGGAGAGCTTAAAGGATGCACTGGATACAGGATACAGAACTCCGACCAGAACAAGCTGACTGCATTCAGGAAAGGCAAATCATGTACTGACCAAATTGCAACTCTACCCATCATCATCACAGAACAAAGCATGGAATGGCGATCAAACCTCTACCTCAACTTTATAGACTTCGAGAAGGCCTTCGACAGACAGCGTTGACCGTGAAGTAATTTGGAAATTACTCGAGTACTATGGCGTACCCCAAATATTCATCAACCTTATTCAACAGCTGTACGACGACGGCACATGTCAAGTGATCCCCAACGGAAAACTCAGCGAGGCATTTGGAGTAAACACAGGAGTCAGACAAGGGTGTTTGCTTATTATCACCATTGATATTCGGAATAAAACAATTCCAACAGTGGTGTGAAAACGGGCAGTAATTTTGCTCGAAATATTACCAATAACAAAACTTATCATTGTGTGTAAATTATTGAAATATTATTATACTTTATTTGATCTAATCCACAATGCTCAAACTTTTTACTGATATTAAGTCAACAACAAAATTCGTTCGGATTTTCGATACAAACGTCAAGTCAGTCAGTTCTTCTATACGGATCAGAAACTTGGCGGGCGGGTCACAAAAAATATTTCCAACAGCCTGTTGCAGACCAGACCTTTATCAACAACTGTCTTCGCTGGCTCTATAATGAAGATCAGATGGCCGGGCCGGACCGGAAAGAATCACCAACAATAAGCTATGGGAACAAACAAAATAAGAACCAATCGCCAACCAACAAATATGCAGGAGAAAGTGGAGATGGATTGGACACTCATTGAGGAGGCCGCCGCTGGGTGACATCGCGCGCGCGTCAGGCCATTGCTCGAGTGGAACCAGGCCGAAAGGGAAGCACGCGGAGAGTGGGACGTCAGTGCAAGGGTGACATGGAGGAGATGGTGTGAAGAGGAGTTGAAAGAGTATGGACTAACATGGATGCAGGTGAAAAGTACAGCAGAAGGAAGACAGAAGCAAATGGAGACGTGCAGTTGAGGCCCTATGTTCCATTAGGAACTCAAGGGAACAATAATAATAATAATAATAACAGACAGTTCTAGAGAACACTTCTATGCAACAAATCGAAAGCAGCCCTAATATCAAGAAACACAACGATTGTTGGCCTGCAATACATGTGGTGGTGTTCTAACAACTGAAGAAGGGTGAACATGTGATCAATGCGTTCACGGTCTGAACGAAATTCAGCCTGCTGTTTGAGAATCAACTCCTCACATGTGTTTTGGGCAGCCTCCGAAACAAGACAGTAGATAATATTTTAGCCGCAAGTGGTAACAAGATGATAACACTATGGTTGTTGCATGTGTTACGTTGACCCATTTTAAAGACGGGGACGATGATGGATTCATTCCACATTGATGGCATATCCTCAGTCTCCCATACTTTCCTGGAAAAAAACAGGTCAAATCCATGACGAGAATCTCACCACCATCTTTATACAGGGCCGAAGGTAAATTTTCTAGACCAGGTGCCTTGGAGTTCCTTTCGGACCTCTACTCCGATTGGTGGGTCGATACTGACTAACCAAGGAGCACTGTGGCTGATGATCGTGGATGCTGGAGCTGATGACCAGCTGAAGTGTTTCTCGAAGTGCTCTGTCTAGCGCTCTAGGTGTCTTTTCAGGCTGGTAACTGGCGCGCCATTTGCCTCGAAGACTATCTTCCTGATGCCCTGTTTCTTGCTGCCGGTGGCTTGGATGACCTGGAACAGCTTCCGACTGTTATTAGATGCAGCTGATAACTCCATCTCCCACACGCGTTCTGATCACTAGGCTTTGTTGTGCTTACTTAGACACTGTTTAATCTTGCGTGTAAGCGCCTTTAGCTTATTGTTGTACTCGCTGCCTTCCGGAATAAACCGGCGTTCATCCAAGAGCTGTAAGGAACTCGAAGAAACCCAGTGGTTTTTAGTGGATCATTCTTTTAAGCCACAAGCGGCTTCACTCGCCATCTCATGGCACCTTGCAGATGTAGCTAATGTTCATTTATACTACTCAGAGGGTTGCTAGCAAGCTCTGATTATAACAGCCTGTCATTTCAAAGTAGAAGGTGTTACCAGTTTGCTCACATCAGCATGTAGCTGACGCCATTTATGGATCCCACCAAATCGTAAAATGATTCTAGTACACATTAAAGCATGACTGGAGTCCAGACATGTGCTTCAGAAGAAGCGACAGTGCTGTATGCATCCTCACCATCGGGAACTGACAGCGATATGATCAATCTGAGTCCAGGCTTGATTGGCAGAGGAAGGACGTCAGGTAGCTAGTGATGGCTGCGTCGGAAGTTGGTGCTGGCTAGAAACAGGTTGTGATCTTCTCACAGCTGCGAGAGATGGTCGCCATTATCTGACCTGCGACCATGTAAATCCCACTAGCTTAGACGCCCGACCTGTGCATTCAGGTCCCCAGCCAGCACTACGATATCCCTCTGACGCGCCTGTCCCAGGAAATGGCTCAGCTGATAGTAAAACTCATCCTTAATTGCATCTGCGTTGCAATCCGTAAGTGCATAGGCAGAGACAACAAATAGGCACTGCCTATCTAGCCTACCACTTCTTACTCTCGCATAACCTTCCTCACGGCCTCATACCACATAAATGACTGTTAATGGAGATCCAGTCGAGTAATGCAGCTTCATCCTCAACTCATTGCGAAACCGACACTAGCTACGCCGGATAAGCGTAGGTGGTACATACTATTCGAAATTTCAGATGGAGAAGACAATCGAAAAGCTTTACTGGAATATTGAATGCGGGTCTCTGAAATGCAGCAGACATCGATAGCGTGGCTTTCCAATGTTCTTACCAAACCTCCCTGTTGTCAAATTTTCATCAGTGCCCGAACATTGTAGGTTGCAAGATTGAACGCGGCACACGGTTTCCGGATATCGGTATTTGGTGTCGCACTGAGGTCAACCATTTTCGAGGCTACTCACTGACATATTCAAACGACACAGATAAGCTGGGAATTTCGACAAAGGCGAAAGGCTGATGAAAGTGAGGTCACTAAGGATATCAAAAGTAAAACACAGGATGTAAAAAAATAAAAATAAGGTTGGAAAGAAATGAGTGACTGGAAACATTATTAGTGTTCAAGAGCACCGTAAAGAGCGTACGATTAGTTTAACCGATAGTTCGTTGTTTCACTTCTTCCGTTCTTGATGACCCCAACCAAGAAGTCTACACCTACGTGACTCAAACCAAAAGGTAAAAACTTCATGTATTGGCTCCATGTTTTAGTCTGAAAACGTCTGACTCTTTTACAACTTAATCCTATATCAGTTGGATTATTTAATATAGTGGTTTTATACACCATTTTTTGATCTTTCTTCTTTGGCTGTTGAAGAAAGTTGAAACATCAAAAACTATAGACTGTAATAGTTAATGATATATTAGGTTAAAGAGATTTTGCAAAGAATGAAAAGATAGAAAAATATATTCCCAACTTCGCTCTCATTACAGTATTCCTGATTACTTTATGTATATAATATTATATATATATATATATATATATATATATATATATAATTCGAGTTTTAAAACAGTTAACCAAATGAACAAAACTCAAGCAGTTCAAATAATTTAGAAAAACTACTAAAAAAACTGTACGAACTTACACGACTTGGCAAACCACTATCCATAGTTGGATCATAATCAAAAAGTGCACGTACATGCATTGTTTTCTTGTTAGTTGTAATAAGACGTCGTGGACTAGATGGTCTCTCATGGAATACTATACTTGGGCAATCAGATGAAGGCACTAATGAAGAATTATTCATAAATGAATCAGATGAATTACTTAAATGTTTCATATTGTTCTGTGAAGTATCCTCTGTAATTGTATTCACACCATTATATTTTGTGTTTGAATATGATGGTAAATTGTGTTGTGAAGTGGGAATAGGATTAGAAGACGAGTAGGAAATCTCCATTGCTCAACAGATGATAAATGTTTACCAGAATTATGCAAAATATGATGATGACAACGACGACGATAACAATAACAACAGCATGGAGATTTACTTCCTGTCTCAGTTATCAAATGCACCAATTCAATCCAACTAAAAAATGTTAGTAAAAAATCAATTTACAATAAATTTTCAGAAGATATATAAAGTAGATAAGTTTAACTGCTTCTATAGTTATTTTACTGCTTTATATAACTGTAAATTATCATGTCCCAAAACCACTGTTCCTAACTAGTACTTAATTCAAAGTGGTTAGCTTGGTTGTAACACACATTGACCCAAGGAAATGAGCAGATAAATGGTGAAAGAATACGCACAAAACATTAGTGCTCATTTCGAGATAACTAGTTAATCCGTAAGTTGAAACACATTATTTAACCGCGTCTAGAGAGTGTGTAGCTATGGAATTTCTCTGTACTTTTATTAAGAGAGAAACAATGTGAAGAACTCTTCCCAACGTATTTAATGACAGTGCCTATTCCTGATTTAGTCATAAGTGGAATGCAGTTTGCAGAGAAAGAAATATTCATATGAAAGTAAAAAGCACTAAGTAATGTCTAACCAATTCCCAAGTCTTGCCAAACTATTAAATGAAAACTAGGTCGAAACATCTATGCAATAAATACATTTCATAGCCCAAACGCGGTGATTCCCATGATATTGGCAGCTAAGCGTCAACAGGTTCACATCCCTAATAGTAGTCCAGTTATTTCCCATTCTGTGATAGGTTTCTCCCCTATTGCCTATCTTTTGAAACGAAACGAAGCTATCTTCAACTTCTTCAAGCTGTTGCTAGTAATAAGGATTTGCATTTGTCTGTCTCTGTCTGTCTGTTTTCGACATAGGACTTTGCACAAATGTGAGGAAGTTCAAGTCGCCACACTCCGTGTAACACACAAACCAAGAGAAGAAAGTACAAGAAAAGCATAATAGAGACAGTAAACAGAGGTGTGAGACAAAGGAATAGTAATAACGAAGAACAAAACAGTTTCATTGGAAATCGTAAGTCACAAGGAGTGGATGCATCTGCGCCACTGAGAACAATTTTGAGCCATGTCACCAATTGTTTCCAACCATAGATTTTTACCGTCCCGAGGACCCCAACCCGTCAGGAAGTCTACACCTTCCTACGTGGCTTAGACCAACTGTTGTGGATTTCATTGACTGGTGCCAAGTTTTTGTTTGACCGACGCTAGCTTTTTTCCAGCCTGACCCTATATCCGCTAACATTGCTCGTCGAGGAAGGCGATGACCAGCCATACGTAAAACATGTCCTAACCATCTCAGTCTTTGCAACTTCACGACTTCGTCGATTGATTTCCCCTGTTTACCTAGGATGTTTACCCGTCAAGGATGCCCATAATCTCCTTTTCTATTCAACTTCATCATAGATGTGTTAATGGACTTAACCCTAGGTGACTTCAGCGACTCAGGGATTGACTTGCTACCAGGGAATAATCTCGTTGACTTAGAATATGCAGACGATATAGTCCTTCTAGGCGAAGACGCTGACGAAATGCAGAGTCTTCTAAACACCTTGAGCCGCAATCTACGAATGTTTGGCATGCGATTCGCTCCCGCCAAATGCAAGATGATGTTACAGGACTGGACTACATCGACGCCTAGTTTAAAAATAGGAAGTGAAGTGGTAGAGCACGTTGACCGCTTCACTTATTTGGGAAGTACCATCAGCCAGTGCCAAAGGGGTGACCTCTGACGAAATCTCAGCTGAGTACGGATACAGGGGGCTCGTTTCGCATTTGCCAGTTTACGCCGACTCTGGCGTAGACGAGATTTTCGACTATCGACCAAAGGGCGGGTGTACTGCTCATCAGTCCGCTCCGTCCTCCTGTATGGTTGTGAGACCTGGTCACTCAGAGTGGAAGACATGAAAAGACTAGCTGTCTTTGATCATAGGTGCCTGCGTTCTATTTCCCGTGTAAAGTGGCATAATAAGGTGAGCAACATGGAGGTTAGGCGTAGAGTTCTAGGTAAACAGGGGAAATCAATCGACGAAGCCGTGAAGCTACAAAGACTGAGATGGTTAGGACATGTTTTACGTATGGCTGGTCATCGCCTTCCTCGACGAGCAATGTTAGCGGATATAGGATTGGTCTGGCTGGAAAAAAGCTAGCGGTGGTCAAACAAAAACTTGGCACCAGTCAATGAAATCCACAACAGTTGGTCTAAGCCACGTAGGAAGGTGTAGACTTCCAGGCTGGGGTCCTCGGGACGGTAAAAATCTATGGTTGGAAACAATTGGTGACATGGCTCAAAATCGTTCTCAGTGGCGCAGATGTATCCACTCCCTGTGACTTATGATCTTCAATGAAACTGTTTTGTATTTCTTTATTACTCCTTTGTCTCACACCTCTGCTCACTGTTTCTATTATGCTTTTCTTGTACTTTCTTCTCTTGCTTCGCGTGCTACACGGAGTGTGGCGACTTGAACTTCCGCACATTTGTGCAAAGTTCTATGTCGAAAACAGACAGACAGTTTACCTAGAACTCGACGCCTAACCTCAATGTTGCTCACCTTATTATGCCACTTTACACGGGAAATAGAACGCAGGCACCTATGATCAAAGACAGCTAGTCTTTTCATGTCTTCCACTCTGAGTGACCAGGTCTCACAACCATACAGGAGGACGGAGCGGACTGATGAGCAGTACACCCGCCCTTTGGTCGATAGTCGAACATCTCATCTACGCCAGAGTCGGCGTAAACTGGCAAATGCGAAACGAGCCCCCTGTATCCGTACTCAGCTGAGATTTCGTCAGAGATCAACCCGTTGGCACTGGCTGATGGTACTTCCCAAATAAGTGAAGCGGTCAACGTGCTCTACCACTTCACTTCCTATTTTTAAACTAGGCGTCGATGTAGTCCAGTCCTGTAACATCATCTTGCATTTGGCGGGAGCGAATCGCATGCCAAACATTCGTAGATTGCGGCTCAAGGTGTTTAGAAGACTCTGCATTTCGTCAGCGTCTTCGCCTAGAAGGACTATATCGTCTGCATATTCTAAGTCAACGAGATTATTCCCTGGTAGCAAGTCAATCCCTGAGTCGCTGAAGTCACCTAGGGTTAAGTCCATTAACACATCTATGATGAAGTTGAATAGAAAAGGGGATAATGGGCATCCTTGACGGACACCACTATTCGTCACCAGTTCAGATGACAGCTCGCCGTAAGCCCTCACCTGGCTGTATGAGTTCGAGTAGAGTGCGTTAACCAGTGCGATGTATTTTCTCGGCATTCCTTTTACAGCCACAGGATTTGCATCTATTAAATACCGTAGCCATCATCCTGAAATTACACTAAAAACTACATACAAGAACTTATAATGCTTTTACCCGCTTCAGATAGTCCGACTGATTGATTAAGAAACTATTGTGGCACTTCGTATAAATGTTTGACAATTCAGATTGATACGACTCAACATAGGGAACAGGGATGTAATAATACGAAGCTGAGAAAAGAATGTGGTGGAATGATTTAGTGAACACTAGTGATAAAGATTAAATACCAATGTGAACGACCACTGTACGTCGGTGGCACGGTGGTTAGGACTCTCGCCGACCATACACATGGTCCGAGGTTTGATCACCTACCGACGCACACCCGATATCTATGGTCGGCCTGCAAAATTTAGGCTACCGATATCCTTGCTGAAAATTCTATACTTGTACCAAAAATACATTGTGGAATCAAGGTGTAATCAAAAATAAAAATAAATAAGGCATTTCAACAGGAATCTCCAGTCGTTGGTTTTTAGAATTAAGAGGACGCAAGCCTGGCGATGTACACCCTTACGTACCCTAGACCAGTAGCCAAAACCAAGTTGCCAGCAAATAATACTGATATAGATGTTTACGTAACGTGCACACAGGAACTTAGTGTACTACTCAGCTGATATCACCAGGATGGTTAATCATAACAGTTCAGGTATTAAACATCTGCGAATTCGAAAACCGATCATCGCAACCATGTAAGTGTAGGCTTAACAACTGTACAATCCCACTATGTAGCAGTTCGCAGTCGCCCTAACACTGTTCTATTTAATGATTTTAAAGGAATTAAGGTACGTCGTGGTGTACGTCAGTCTCTCCGTAGTAACCATCTATTCGTACAATAACTTTATCTCTGAATATGAGAAGAATGGAGTATTTTAAAGCCGTTTGACATCTTACAAAAATGTAGTCCTCAACTGTGATCATTGTAATTTGATTTAGAGGACAAAGTAAGACGATTAAATCAGGAAGCCATGCACCTAAATTGTACTTTTTTAACAATAACCCACGGAAATGACAGTCTTAATTACTCATTAAAGCTACGTTCTGATAAACACCAACCTTAGACAAAATAGGGTAACCATTGATCCAAATTACTACAACTCGAAACATTAGATAAAAAGAAAACAAACAGAAACAAAACAGGATGTGACAAATATCTGTCTGTCTGTCTGTTTTCGACATAGAACTTTGCACAAATGTGCGGAAGTTCAAGTCGCCACATTCCGTGTAGCACGCGAAGCAAGAGAAGAAAGTACAAGAAAAGCATAATAGAAACAGTGAGCAGAGGTGTGAGACAAAGGAGTAATAAAGAAATACAAAACAGTTTCATTGAAGATCATAAGTCACAGGGAGTGGATACATCTGCGCCACTGAGAACGATTTTGAGCCATGTCACCAATTGTTTCCAACCATAGATTTTTACCGTCCCGAGGACCCCAGCCTGGAAGTCTACACCTTCCTACGTGGCTAAGACCAACTGTTGTGGATTTCATTGACTGATGCCAAGTTGTGACAAATATAAATCAATGAACCGACAACTACTTTGATATGATGGTCGGGTATGTACAACACAACGCTCCTTAATTAGCTCTCAGGATAGACGCCTTGAACGCTGGAAAGAACACTTTGAGGGACAATTTAACTTGCCTACAGCCACACTGAACCTCCCCGACATCCAGAACACACCCGAATGGGATATAGACACTGGTCCGCCGTCAATAAGTGAGGTCACAAAAGCTATCTGTAATTTGAAACGAGGCAAAGCGGCAGGACCCGACGGAATTATTCCGGAGGTGTTTAAATATGGGGGTGACATACTAGTTTGTAGATTAACTGAGGTACTAGGCAAAGTCTGGGAATCAGAGACAGTGCCATCAGACTGGGGTAAGTCACTTATTATACCGATATTCAAGAAGGGAAACAAGTCCTCGTGTGATAATCATAGGGGGATCAGCCTAACGAACATAGTCTCTAAAATCCTAGGCTCAGTAATCATGCATAGACTAAGCAGAACTCGGGAGGAACAGACAAGGGAAAATCAAGCAGGCTTTAGACCAGGTAGAGGGTGCATAGATCATATCTTCACTCTTCGACAGATTCTAGAACATAGACACACTTTTCGGCGTCCAACAATTGTCATATTTCTTGACTTGAAGGCGGCCTTCGACTCCGTGGATCGAAAGGTACTATGGCAATGTCTGACTGTGAAGGGAGTGCCAAGAAAGTACATTGCACTAATCAAGGCACTCTATTCAAACTCACGTAGTCGTGTAAGGGCTTATGGGGAATTGTCATCTGAATTGGTAACAACCAGTGGTGTCCGACAGGGATGTCCACTTTCCCCATTTCTGTTTAACTTCATCATAGATATGCTGATGGAAGTATCCTTAACTGAACGTAATGACTTAGGAATCGACTTGTTACCAGGGAATAATCTTATGGACTTAGAATATGCAGATGACATAGTCCTGTTAGGGGAGGATGCTGACAAAATGCAGAGTCTTCTGAACACCTTGAGCAGCAATCTTCGTATGTTTGGCATGCGATTCGCCCCTACAAAATGTAAGATGCTGCTACAGGACTGGACCACGTCAACCCCTAACTTAGTGATAGGGAGTGAAGTGATAGAACATGTTGACCACTTCACCTATTTGGGAAGTTGTATTAGCACCAACGGACTGATTGGCGATGAAATCTCAGCACGGATCCGAAAAGCTCGAGCTGCTTTCGCTGACTTACACCATCTCTGGCGTAGGCGTGACATCCGGTTATCAACCAAGGGACGTGTGTACTGCTCATCAGTTCGCTCCGTCCTTCTCTATGGCTCTGAAACATGGCCAATACGCGTTGAAGACATGAAAAGGTTGACTGCTTTCGATCATAGATGTCTGCGATCTCTGTCTCACGTTAGGTGGTTTCACAAGGTAAGTAATGTTGACGTTAGGCGTAGAGTGTTGGGCAAAGAGGGAAAATCAATCGACGAGGCTATAAAGTTACATAGACTAAGATGGCTAGGTCACGTGCTGCGCATGCCTAACCACCGCCTCCCCCGACGGGCATTGCTAGCTGATATAGGTTCAGGTTGGAAAAGAGCCAGTGGTGGCCAAACAAAAACATGGCATCAATCCATGAAATCCTTGACAGTTAAACTGAGTCAGGTAGGGAGATGCAGACTCCCGGGTTGGGGCCCTCGGGACTCTAGGAATCAATGGCTGGAGACAATAGGTGACATGGCTCAAAATCGTTGTCAATGGCCAGCGCAGATGTATTCAGTCTCTGTAATCTTTCATATTCCTTTCTACCATTACCCATTCTGTTTCACTCTTATACTTGTCAAACTCTATTGATTCTCTTCACTCATCTTCTTGTCTACCTCTGTGTGCTATTTGGAAGGTGGCAACTCGAACTGCTGCACTTCGGTGCCAAGTTCTATGTTGAATCCAGACAGACAGACAACACTACAATCTGACGAGCTAAAACATCTTGGAGGACTGTTCATGAGTCTTTCTATACAAGATCTTCTGGACAGAGGTAGGACGAAAAGCAGTTACTGTCATAATGTAGGCTCCTTATACTACATTGAAAGCATGCGGAAAAAGATGTAATGTTGGCTGGAACGGTTGTGAGGCGTTTTGCTTGAAAAATCTGTTTCCATGATGCGAGCAATCGGAAAGAATCAACTGTCCACATAACTGTATATTCCCTCAGTTTCTCCCATAGCTGGTAGTTGCTTGTTTGTTCAGCGGTTGGTAAAATTTAGGCTTAGATGCCACCCATTTGCACCATGTGATGGGAACAAGATATTAGATTTCCTTTAAGAGTCCAGTGTACTTCATAACTCCGTACTACTAGGGTCAATGAAGATAGAGGACCTACAGAGACCCGATGCATTCGGCCACCGTTGTTTGAGTAGTATTACCTGCGTTTGGTGGAACTGCAACGTGATCAATGTGGAATTCAAATACGCAGCTTTATGTAAGATGAACTAGTCAACTGAATAAGTTTGACATCTGTGTTTCACCTTGTTGAGATATGTACTTATGCCTACTCACTGCTCCTCTCGGAATCATGGTAGCGGAAATAAAATTACACCGAGATAAACCAAATGGTAACCATAAAAAGATCAGTCTTTTGCGTTAATTTCTGTTTGATACATCTAAGGTGTAGGTTATCTGACCAGAATGCCAGACACCTTAAAGTCTTTAGATAGTATTGACTAGGGTGAGTTGACCTTCATCTCTCCATCAGAGTGGTCTCAAGCGGTTGTAATCAAAAACTTTACGATGTAGAACCTATGCACTACACTCACAAGGCACAGGGTTCCCATGAATGTCTGTCTGTTTTCGACATAGAACTTTGCACAAATGTGCGGAAGTTCAAGTCGCCACATTCCGTGTAGCACGCGAAGCAAGAGAAGAAAGTACAAGAAAAGCATAATAGAAACAGTAAACATAGGTGTGAGACAAAGGAATAGTAATAACGAAGAACAAAACAGTTTCATTGGAAATCGTAAGTCACAAGGAGTGGATGCATCTGCGCCACTGAAAACGATTTTGAGCCATGTCACCAATTGTTTCCAACCATAGATTGTTACCGTCCCGAGGAGCCCAGCCTGGAACCCGATTTTAAACCAATGGACTTCTTGATTTTAGGACTTAAAGGGTGTGAATTCCGTATGTACCCACTTCAAACATTAGCGCCTAAGAAAATTCAGCTTGTCTCTCGCATGTGCGACTCGCACTTCAGGTTTTTCCTACAAAAACAAATGACCTTGACGTTTGGACAATCTCTCAGGCATAACACGACAATTTATTACGATGCTTAGTCTAACGGTACAGCTTTTCATTTTAACTCATGTGCTACTTCGAGAACCATGTATTCAAAAACGCTTCCTATGCGCTAAAGGATTTAATTAGCCTATGGGTTTTTTAACATTCAAAGTTATTTGAACACGATCATCCGGAATAATTCTCTTATGCACCAAGCTGCTACACATACTGTGATCACTAGTGATACTAACTATCAAACGCTTACGTCAGTCTAGGTAGTATCACTAGTCCTCACGCGATAAACATGGCCCTTAACCTGGTAGGTGACAAGTCTGTTCCAGGTAATTAAATCAACAAATAAACCATTTTTTAAAGCGAAAGTGTGACGAGTAAGACTATAATAACCCATTTGTGTACAGAGAAAACAACAAGCAAAAGAGTAGAGAGATAGAGTAACCATAACTAAAGTTCAAGATGGGAGACGAGCCTGAATCAATACGGTGTTGGTGGGGAATGTTGATGAAACATGTCGCAGGATCCATCCATCAATTATAACCACGATGGAAAGGTTAGAAATGAATGCTCGTCACATCTATGTACTCTCTCTTAGAAGTGCCGCTGTCAACAGTAATTTCGCGACCAGGAATCCCTACTCATCGCGCCAATACCTTCGCTAAAGAGATAGCAGACGATTTCTTCATAAGAAATCGGCATACTTTGTTGCTATTTTCTCAGCTGTTTATTGCTCCCAATTTCATTCTACATCCACGGACTAAGCTTCCGCCAAAAAAGGGCAAAATTCGACTTACCTAGTACGGAGATCATGCTTCTAACTTCAAGGTCAAGTGGCTGTTTGGATTTTCCGCCATGTATTGTTAAAGGTCATATAGCTACAAGTGGTTGCAAACATTAAGAAACCAACACTCAAAACTAGTTTCAATCATTAATCGAAACCCTGGCTACAGTTCAGTTTTGAAAGTCAGTAATACTTTACAGTGGATGCCAGTCTATTATAATATCTCACGTAAGTAATATGGCAGCAGCAAGAACAATTTGTGTCCCATAACTGCAGCTACTAATAAAGAGTAGATCGCACCAGACGAAACAACTCAGTTCCTCTCACCCTAATATAAAAGTTTCATTCACCAGATTCACAAAATATGAACTAATCTGGCTTTCAGGATTTCTTCGTGCACTGACTCTGGTTAAAGGACCATTTGGAAAAGACAGGAATACTGGATGGCGGTTTCGTCTTAGTTTGAGACTCTTCATCAGTACGCGTCAACTGAAGTTTGAAACAAAGACCTACTGTTTACAAGGCGAGCTCGTAGACCGTCAAACCACTGGGACCCGACCCAACTATCTATAGCTGGCCCTGTTCAGGTAAATAATTACCTGAGTTCTAATGAGAAGTCGTGACCAGTGGCGTGCAGCAGGTAGCGTGTGAGCCCAAATACACACCAATGACGCTCACCAGTGGTCACATGAAGAAGATGGAATTCATAGAAAATTGCATCTGGTCGCAGTGGCTAAACTGTTTACTAGCTATCCTTGAAACCAGAAGGTCTTGGATTTGGGTTTCGGTTGATGCGTGATATGAAGAGTTCCAAACTGAGACAGAACAGCCATCCAATACCCATGGGTCTTCCAAAAGTCCCCTAACCAGTGTCAGTTCACGATGAAACCCTGAAACCATTAAAATCCCTGCACACCAATACATGATTTTGATTTTTGATTACACCTTGATTCCACAATGTATTTTCGTTACAAGTATGGAATTTTCAGCAAGGATATCGGTAGCCAAATTTTGCAGGCCGACCATAGATATCGGGTGTGCGTCGGCAGGTGATCAAACCTCGGACTATGTGTATGGTCGGCGAGAGTCCTAACCACCGTGCCACCGACGCACACTCTCACTTTATTTGTGTCAGTCACATCCAAATCTACCCTGATTAATTTTCAGATGAATAAGTTTCCTAAAGATGCGTTTTTTAACCTATTGCCAGTGCAGTGTCTATTGATTCAGGATAACGATTTTTGTATCTACTAATTTATTCTAGAATACCAATTGTTAAATTTATGAATATTCCTAGAGTCTAATGAGGATCAAAAAAATTTGTCTATTTTCTTGAACAATCATTTTGTTATCCATTTGATTTTATGACCCAGTACATCGCTTCCTGATTCGAGCAAATTTACTGCATATCACCGCCGCATTCTAGAACATTGCTATAGTGGTCTGATGGCAAATTGTACTTTTTGCATGCGTTTTAAGTGAAATTTCGCAAAACATATATGTTTTGTGGCATTATATTCTTGAACTGTGTTGCACTTTTATCAGAAAACTGTCACAATGCAGGAACCCTGACATGGTTTCACTTTCAAGAGCCTGGGCTCTCTATACGGGACCCACAACCTATCCAACGACTTTCAAGATGGCCCAAATTAGGTTTATTGGTAGAAGAACTAATTCACTGAGATTGAAATTGGAATCAGGTAAGTGCTTAAGGAGCTGAAAAAAATAAAGTGTACATATAACCATAGTGAACAGAGATTTAGATTAGCATTTCAACCCACCGGATAAAAACCACTGGTGTGGTGTTTGGGAACGCATGACTTATACTGGACGTGGTGCTTTAGGTGTACCGGTTAATGAACAATTGATGACAGACGAAAACTTGACACCTGATGAATAACAGACCTCTTGTTCAAATAAACTTGGACATAGAAGACTTCTAATTGTTGACATCTACGAGGCTACTGATACTGCAGGAAAACTTGACAGATATTGGTGTGACCCACATTGGTGGGTATATCCTCCAATGGATGGAGACAAGCTAGCTGTCTAGCGGATGTTTTGGAAACTATGGCCCAAGGAGTGTGTCTCCTTGTTAAAACGAAGGCGCAGATGGATAGACATATGTAGGAATGTTAAGCTCGGTGACTTAGTTGTCGCAATATTGGGCCTTACTGGTAGGAATGAGTGGCCACTTCGGCCTATGTGACAGATGTTTTCAGGTAAAGACGATGTAGTCAGACAAGTGTAGGTGAAAAAGGTTAGCAGAGTGCTAATAGGCAACATTAGGAAGGTCTCCTTTTTGGGAACCACATATGATAGGTTTCACTATGAGAGCGTCTTAGTGTATTATTTTGGGTCCTAGATATCAAAACAAATGGACAGTGGGTGGTTGCCAGACGTACCATTATAAGTTCTGATATATAAGTTCGCTACGTATGTGTTATGGGCAATTAGAGTGGATTTATTGCATATACCCGCTACTAGAGGCGTTTCAGTCCGTTGCAAAGTTGGTTTAGTGACAAGTTGTGTTTTCGTATAATTTTTAAATGAAATTTTGCATTAAAAACTCTTCTGATTTACATAGTATTGGTAGCATCATGCACTTGGACTGCGTTACATTTGCTGCACTTCTATCAGGAAATAGCGCTTGATATTGATATCTGCGCAGTGTGATGGATTGAAAAAGACGGGGATTTCAAAATTTAAACGTATATTTTTTAATTTCCATGAAATCATACTGGGATATTCGGCCTATTTAATGATATGTTATTATCTCGATTGGTTTGGCAGCTGTTGGCATTCATAGCAAAATCCTAGCATTAATTTCAGTTTTCATTTACTCAACACAGTCTGCTTTTATTTTAAGAGAAAAACATTAGCACTATGGTTTAATATACAGCATTATTGTGAATTTGTGTTTCAAGTGGCTTTTATTTTGAGGGGAGGTTTAGTTACTACAATATTACGATTTTATAAGAGTAAATTAGGCTCATATGTGAAGGAAACTGATAGCTGGAATAAGGACAAGTTGTTCAGAAGGCAAGGAAGACTTTATTTTTCAGTTTGTTTGTGTAAATACTGTTGTGGATCGAGCTGCACTGCAATTCACATGAAGCAAGAGATTGTAAATGCCCTGCCCTCTCTTCGGCATAAGAAAGTTTATTGCACAAGAATTACTTCACAAGACTCTTCATATTAAGTTCATTAAGGACAAAGAGAAGTTTTCAACTTCAATGTTAAGTTAATTTATGAACTGTGTAGTCTTTTACAGTAATACATTTGGCAGGCAGACTTCACACTAAAATCAAAAGTGCCAATGTTAAACTAAATCTTATGCACTCCCTGTATGGGTTTGACGTTCGTCGAATGGTCACTTAACAACTCATGAGTGTTGTAATCAAGCTAAAATTATAACTCCTAACTCCAAAAGTTGTCGCCATTCTCACTGGCAGCAGTTCACATTCTATTGAGTTTGCACAACCACAACACCCATTTCCCACTTTACCTAAGAAACATTAACTGGGTTTCTTGAAAAAGTAGTAAGCCACTTTGTGAATTTCATGAATTCTACAGGTTTCATTCTATTCACCTAATACTGAAACTAAACTATGAGGGAAATCATATTTCCAATAAGGCTGTAATACAAGGCTGATTCCTACAGCTCTTGACCTTATTTCAGTTTAATTTCATCATAAAGTTTTAGTAGAATCATCCGTCATTGACCTGAGGGACTTACCGAGGAGTTTCGTCAACGGAGAGTATACTGACGACATTGTTCACCTAGGTTGGGAGAAGGGCCCATTGATGCTGAGAGATATAAAAATACTGCTGGTGTTTAGGCGTAGGTGTCTGTGCCCTATCTTCTGTGTTAAGCAGAATAATATGGTGAGTAATATTTGGTTTATGCGCTAGTGTTAGGTAGGGACGCGACTCCAAATTCTTGTCAGTGACATAGATGCATTCACTCTGTGTAATCTCACATTTCTAATCAACCCTTATATTTTATCCTTGCTACTGCCAGTTCTCCCTAATATTTATACCCATTAGAGTTCCATTCAGTTTCCTTTTTCCCCACCTTTTTGTGTTACAAGGAATGTGATAACTTAAACACGTACACTTGTGTGCAGGCGTCTATGTTCCAAGTCAGCCAGTCAGAGTGACATACAGTCTAAGTATACGGAAATGTTAAAAGGTGGATAATCTTGTTGTTTAATTTGGTCTTTTTCCAACTGAAAAAACAGTTATCTTACAATAATCTCCTCTTACTAGGTATAAATTTCACACTCTTTTGTCTCGTCATATATCATGAGTTCGTTTATTTTATCCTATAGCCTAAATGCTAAGTCAAAGCACATCTGATGAACTATTTTTTTGCTTATTACCAACTGCAACTGCCCAGGGTCACAACTCACTACAGTGTTAACTAGTTGTAACATTTGTTAATGCCGCCAACTAAGTGATGTGTTCATGTCGTTTGTAATGGAGACATTTGTATTTCGCAGTGACCGAAATGAAGGAAATCAACCAGCAACACAGAGAGGGACGAATTTTAGGAATTCGTATGTGGCGGAATTATATTTCAAATCCTATAAGAAATATATTAACGAACAACAGTAAGTATTTAAATAATACAGAGATAGGAATTGTCAATCACCATATCCGCCACATGTCAAAGGTCTCCTTGTGCATTTATAATGACGTCTCGGATTGCTTGCGAATCTCTGCGATCTTCTAACTGATTCTGTGATATTAATTTCATCAGTATCATCTGGAATTATTTCTGAATTATCTACAAAATCAGGATTAGTAGCGGAATCATTATAATTTATAATCATTTATTTGCAAATGAAACAGGTGTCTGTTATGAACTGAGTGATCTTAGATATCTAATATTTTCACCATTCGAAATCCCACATTTATAGTATAAATCCAAAAGAAGCTCAATAATTATTACCTGCATAATAATGTATATCAGAAGCCGGGGATATCAGATGATGTCTGAGAATTCGAGATCTGAATAGTGTAGCAGGATATTCGAGGACACATGTATGTCAGTCTAGCGCCGTAAAACGTCAATGTCCAGCTATCGCTAAGCTGGTACTCACGATTTTCCTCAAAAATTTCACAAACGCCTAGGATAAGCCGACAGCAAAATCCAAACAGTGTGTGACGACGCAAGAATCCTTCACTGTAACGATAAAATATAATCAAAAACACTGTTATCACACACGAAGGATTAGGAAAAAATCGTACAACAAAATGCCACGACAAAAGTTCCGAGAGATTATTAAAAATGTTTCCAAAAAGCAAACAATGAGACGCTGACTGCCGTATTGA